CCGATTCCTCGATTTTATCAATCGCTTATTATAGTAGATGATTAAATTGTCTTAACACTAAAAGCAAGACAAACTAAACCCTGTTGACCCCACTGTAGCAATAAAACTGAATACAAGTAAACGCTGTTTGTAAAAGTAAAAATCTTACTGTCACACTTGCACTTATATGAAGAATATCACTCATATGTGCTTGAAGGTGAGTTACAGTCTGTGAAATCCTGGTGCACTAACACCAAGGTGCTACTGGAGCCATCTGGTGTACCGTTCAGTGGTTTCAAATATATTTGCTTCCTCTAAGCACATCAATGTACCACACTTTGTCCTAATTACATATGAATGGCTTAGCCCAAAGAAAGCCCCTCACCAACTGTGTGGTTGATTACACAATTTGAAAGAGGCAAAAACGAAAGTTTCAGTATTAAAACACTCAACAGTTAGTTTCACCATCTTCACGTCAAAGCGAAACCAAACATTTATAAAGGTCGTGACTGTGTGAAAGCAGCCTGGCTTCCGTTAGCTTCAACAAACAGCCTGTTGGGCCTCAGAGAGCACTGACCTGTTTGGTAGGTTTTCTCTGGCACATGCTCACATGCATGCATACACACACTCAACAAACCAAGTTCTGCTTTAACAAGAAATTTTTTTTATTGACTTTTTCTGAATTTCTCCTTGCAAATATTCAAGTACATGGATTTAAAGATCCCGGACACACAATCAGAGGCAAATACTTTCAAAATAATTTCACCATGTTCCTGTTTGAGTCACAAAAGTTTCCACTTTTAACCCCACCCCCCAAAAACGTCCCCCTCCACAGGCTAAGACACATGGACCGCTTGTAAACATGATACAAATATCAGTCTTTGCTTTTTGATCACAAAAAAAAAGTAATCTGGTAGAAAAATATCTTTTCTTTTAATAGGGATTTGTCTTCTTAAGAATATTTACATTTACCTCACAGTATAATCTTATCTGAAAAAGTACATACTGGAAAATAAACACAAAAAGGGGTAAAAGGCCTTTGGTTTTCATGAAAAAAATACCAAAACGACAACAAAAGTCCCATAAAAAGTCCATTCACTGTCCTGTGTACAACAACAGTGATGTTGGGTTGGTGATTGTTGGGCGTCTTGAGGCTGAGACAGAGGGACACCAGCTTTCCACAGGATTCAAAGGGTTCATTCTTCAAAAAACGTTAAGAGCAAAACTGCAGCTACAATCAGGCGTCGCTCCTGGGGACGGCCGAGCGGCACAGCCTCCGCTGGGTGACGTATCCCAGCACGATGAGCAGCATCTCCGAGGTGCTGCTGAGGGCCACGATGAAGGGCGCCTGCGACGCAAAGTCTGCCTCCAGTCGCCGGAAAGACAGCTGCATGACCGCGAGAGCCAGCAGGCTGTTCTGGACGCCCACCTCGATGCTGACCGTCTTCCTCTGTGGCGGAGAAAGGCCCGCCAGCTTGGCCAGGACAGCCCCGACCACCAGGCCCAGCAAAGGCACCGTAATCCCAACGACCACGATTTGGGGCTGCACGTTAGCCAGGATGGACGCTCCCATT